CTAATTTTTCCTTTCCTTTGGATTAAAAGTGTTCGTGGGGGATAGCGCCCTTCGTGGCACCATCCTTATTTTAATGCGGTTATTTTTTTTTAGGATAGGATTCTTCCTTTCTTTAGGATTAGACGTGCTAGCAGTGGACAATGTCCTTCATGGCACCATCTAAGTTTAATCCAAAATTCTTTTCCTCTAGGTTACAATTATTTCTTTTTGTAGGATTAGACATGCTAGTCGTGTACAACGCCCTTCATAGCAGCATACTAGTTTAATCTAGTTTTCTTTCCATTTCGATTAGGATTCTTCCGTTCCTTAGGATTAGACGAGCAAGTGGCACCAGGATAGTTTAATCCAGTTTTATTTTGCTTTGGGTTATGATTTTTCTTTTTCATACGATTTGACATACTAATGGTGGATAATGCCCTATGTGGCACTATCCTAATTTAATATAGTTTTCTTTTATTTTATGTTAGAATTCTTCCTATCATTTGGATTAGACATACTGTGGACCTCATTTTTTGTATGAGGTCTTTATAGGATCTTAAAATCAAATTTAAATCAATTCAAGCTTGAAACCCATTCAAACTTTAATCCAATCCAGTTATGAATCCAAATTTCAATCCAGACCTTGATTTTATCTTTGATCTAACTCTAAACCTATCCAATCATTTATGATTACCTAAATGATTATAAATGACTTGGATAATTCAATATCACTCTTTCAAACTCAAAATCCAGATCAAATCCAAGAATCCAATCTGAAATCTTAAGTCCTAAAGGCCTTTTTCAGTGAATTTTTAAATACTTCAAAACCCAGTCAAATGACCTCTGATTCAGAGTCTATCACTTGCAAAGTGATAAGACATATCTCTGTAGACAACCCTTCGAATTTGAGCCCATTCTGAGGTCTCTAACCCCAGAATCTAAACCAAAATCCTAAGGTTGTAAAACCTTCAAATATTTACAGTCTATGCCACTAAACCTGCCACCCAGTGGATTTTGACCTTAGAGCTTCCTCCAAAGCCCTAATCATTTCCAGACCATTAATCCTGACATATTGATCAATAAATTATATTTTTGCTGGACTCATTTCAGCCCCCAGTGGACCTAAGGTTAGAATGACCAAAATACCCCTTATGGGTGTGAATATTCACTTTTAACCTGACCCGCTACGGCTTTGACAACGGCACGTGATGCACTTTTTAGGTTTGACAACGTCTGACAGCAACACAGGCTGGCAGTGTTCGGCAGCAGTAGAGTGCAGTGGGCAGCACTGACGTGCGGTGGGCTCGATCGCGGGTCCTTGACAATGGCTGGGTAGACGCGAGTCTTGCGACTGGGCCCTAGCGCGCTATCACTCTCGACAGTAGGATCGCGGGCAGCCAGGCATCACCGCACTGGGCAGACGAGACTCGACCAGGTGATGTGATGCTGACGTCGCGTCATGCGTGGCACTACAATAGCGAGTTAATGTATGCGGGCTGAACGATGTAGGCAGATCGAGCAGCCGGGTCATTACTTGTCATTTTTGGGTTCCCTTGTCAACCCGACCCATTTTTTGAACGAGTTAAAAACTACAACCCGAACCTGACTCGTTTCAAATTCAGGTCAACCCAAATCCGAAATTATCATGTTGGGTTTTCAGGTCAGGTCAAATTTAACACCCCTATACAGCACTAAACTTGTGACATTGTGTGATGAGCTTGTGATGTTGTAGGCTAGACCTTCATGCATTGTGGCGCTACACTAATATATAAATATATTCTCCACTCATTGCCCTTACTCCCTCTTCCGTCAGGGATTTCCGTCGAAGGAAAAAGGAGAAGGTGGAGAGAAGGATAAGAGAAAAATAAAAAGCTTGAATTGTAGTCACCGATCCATTTCAACATTTTTACTAAAATTACTCATATCATGGTAGGTGAGCTTAATCATATTCTTATTTTCAAAGATTTTGATTTTGACCATCCAACTTCGAAATTGATTTTATTATATTTTTTTTTTCAGATTTAGTGAACTTTGACCATGTAACATTTTGTGTTATAGTATTGATTATTCTAGATATTTAACTAGATGATTTTATAATTTCATCAAATAAAATTAAAATTAATGTGTTTTATACGATTTTCTCATAATAGAAATTTTGGCATTTTTAATACAAATATATTAGTAATATAGGCATTATGAATGAATATGAGTATGTGATTGAGTAATACTTGGTTTCTATTACTATTATAATATTGTGATAATAGTATGTGTGAGGATAAGTAAAGGCTGGCTTTAATGATGTTAGTTGAAGATTGACCGACATGTACTTGGTTTGATGTTATCCTCTATTGATTAATATGATTCACTAATTGAAAGTCATAAAGAGTTACTACTGTGTTGATGGGCAAGGCAAGATGAATTTGTTTAATTGGCCAATGATTACTAATTATTGATTATTGATTATCGACTACTAGAAAAACATCGCTCAAGCAACAACTCCTTACTTATTAAGCGTGATTATTGGAATAAATGTTACTGCACTACTTTTACTATTCTATTTTATTATTCTGCTGATTACTATTTTATTGATACTTCACTATTTTATTGTCACTACCATTAGTTTTTTAGATACTAGTACTTAATATTACTTATGATTCAATGTTGTAGTTACCACTACCAAATCATTGTTTATTGATTAATGATTATAAAGCACATGTTTCCTATACTTAGCAAGTGATATTGAGCATATGATATAAGATGCTGATTGGATAATGAATTATAATGATTTAAACTCACATGTATAGTGATTTGATTATACTACATTATTATGGATTTTGAAAGTGTGGGCTCCGAAAATTCAGCTCCGGCCGCCGCCCGCTTTTCTTTTTATTCGGCGAGGCAGTTTTAATTGAATAAGTTCCGAAGTAAATTTTGAAAGGCAGATGAGTTTGTAGATAAGACACTACCCAGAGATTTCGCCCTCATTTTGTGAGGACTTTATGATATGAGTTCTGGTTTCCTATAGGCGCAAGCCCCTATAGATAATTACCCCTCCCGATCACGAGAGAGAACTTTCGATTAAGGCTAGTCGTCAATCAGATACATTATATCCATAGATATATAGTATCAAGCGTATAGTAGTAGCAATGGGTTTGGAAATAGTTGGAGAATTTGAGAATTTGGAAAATTTGGATGTTTGGAAATTTGATATTTAAAAAAAAAATTTCACCATCGTGTACTTAAAGCGGATGGTGGGGGAATGGATGATGGGCTCGATCAAGATCCCATGGTTCCATCATCCCGGGCTATCGTGGTCCCTGGTCTACTTAGTCAGAGGAGGTAGTCGACCCAACCTGACAGAAGGATCCTTGTCGGCAGCTATGGGTTGCTTCATCCAAGGAGACCTTATAGACTTGGGATGAGTATTTGCCTAAGGGGACAAATTTGAATCCACTTTAGCTAACAGGAGGCTTTGTGCCCTATTGATCATATCCTATTGATTCATATCTCAAGGATTTAACGCCACTAAGGAGTGTATTGGCTTTGGCCATAACCGCTATCTGTGGTGCCATTTGGCAGCAAAACCACTCGGTTCAGAGGGCCCCGGGTCATAACCGTTTACCTGCAATACCATTTGGCGGCGAAACTGCCGGTTAGAGGACACGTACCACGTCCTTATTGGCAAGAGATTGTTTGAGAATGGATCCTAGTGATATTTTTGAGTAGGCATTTGGCTTTTTGTGAGCTAGAGTTTATTTGAATTTGTCCACCCTGACAGACTGTTGTGGAGGGTGGATGGGCTTTGCTTTAAGTGTTGATGGATTCATTTTAATTTTAAATATTTTTTAATTTTATGATTTTTGTAGAGTTTTGGATGGAGTTTTGGGTTTTTTTTTTAATTTTTATGGGTATTTTGGGTGGAGCTATGGACTTTGGATATTTGAGAGGCATTTGAAAATATTTGGGAACCCCTCCGGTTGAGATCTGCATTCAACACGGCCATCATCGGGGTGTTTGGGGTCATTTTTCTTTTGTTGATTGAATCTTGTCAACTCTATCAAATTATCGATAGAGGATCGGATTTCGTATGTTTTATGCCCTTATTAGTGAATTCGTATTGTTATAGACCTTGAAGGCCTAATATGAATGTATTAAGATAAATATAATGGTCGCCACAATCGTATATTTGTTTGTTGGTTCAAACCCTGTCGACGTCTATCGATCCATATAGAAGGATCAGGTTCGAACTTGAATTCACTTATCAACCCGCGCAGCATCCCTAGACGTCACGTGTGTACCAATAACACGCTCGCCGGGGCCCATACGAGTTGAGATTGTATTTTCCCCTTTAGTGTACCTATGTATATACAATTTATAGAGCACGTGCAGAGGTATTTATTTCAGACTTTGTTGGAACCTTCTATCTGCTTTTACGAATGTTGCAGATCCGGTGACGTGGCGTAGCAGCTATTGAATAGAGTTGTTCGCTGCTTTATACAGGCAGACCGTCGTACACTATGGTTTCTTTCTACAGGTGAATCGTAGTGCACTAACGAGTCTCCTGCTTTGGATCGTAGGAGCTTGCACTTGTTGTAGTCTTTGGCATTTGTTTGTAGATTGTATGTGATATTTAGTGTGTATGTCGAATCCCTTATAAGGACCCTTTACTCTTGCTTGTAGGGAGCTAGTATATTTTCTTAGTACAGGATTATTACTGATTATAGGAGTATTATAACATTCACTACATGTTGTTGAAGATATCAAGGCTGAGGAGGTCGGCGGCATAGGCTTTGGATTCGGCTGGCTCTGCGTGACGAAGGGAGATCGATCGAGGCTGTGGTTTAAGGCAGAGTTTGGTCGGAAGGGCTTCTGCGGTTCTAGTGTCGGGTCGTTGGAAGCACGAAGCAGAGCCGGAGGGAAGTGAGTGTGGAAGCAGTCGTGTGTGTAGAGCTTAAGCCTCGTCTCATCTGGCTTTTAAAGACGAGAGGAGCGTCTAGCTGGAACGGGATTGGGCAGAAAACATGGACTGTTCGGTGCCGTGCTACTGTGATTTTGGGCGATTTCGGGAAAGTATCGCGGGATTCAGGTACGTATGCGGGATTTCTGCTCTCCACTATTGGTCTTTACATGGAGGTCAACAGAAAGTTTTCAAATTGAAGTGATAAAACAAACCCGATTAAGCCTCAAAGTTAAAACTAACATGCAGCTTTCAATGAAAGCCGTAAGATCTATCCAAAATCTAAACTAACATGTAATCAATGTTTTGTTAGCATTGGTAGATTGAGATTTACAGTATTTCTAGGATGGTGGAATCATAGATTCTTGATCAGGTCAACCTCTACCCCTCACAAATGAAACTAAAACTTAAATTTTGAAGCTATACTAAATGATTCATCCTTAATCGAGAGTTCTCACCTACGAAGTAAGATAGATAATTAACTATGCGGGCTTGTGCTCATAGGAAGTAAGGATCCTAATCTAAATAAATCTCAATAAAATCCTTGGTAGAAGTTTGATTAATTAAAATTCAATCTACCTCAAGGAAAATAGAACCCTATGCTTGAAAAGCGGGGTTCGTGCTGAGTGTCATTTTTCTTGAGCGAACAGTATCTAATATTTTTTTTTTTTGAGAATTTGTTGTCCTTTTTTACTTAATTAGTTGAATAGTGCATGTTCACCTACATGTATGATATACTAATTATTGTAAATTTACTTTGCTCATCATTATTATTGCAAGAATATATTAAAAAAATCATGTTCCTTCTCTTTAAGTTCTAATAACCAAGCAATAAGGTTTTCTATATATTATATTAATTATAAATGAAGTATATAATTTATTTAACATTACTAATTTAAAATAAATACTATTTACATTATAAAAAGTTTATTTAAAAACTATGTTTCAAAATATATAGTCAATGATGTAAACATAAGAACTAAGAATTTCAACTTATTTAATTCCACATCACTTGAGAACTTCCCTTTGATAATTTTTATATTGCTTTTTGAGTTTAAATGAGATAAGAACTCACACAGAGTAATGGAGCCATATAAAATATTTAGTTCAATTTTTTTTAAATAAGCATTTTTAAATTTAGATTAATTTGTTAAATTATAATATTACTTAAAATTGTATGCAAGATATATTAAATTAATTTATTTAATAATTTAAATAATTAAGAAGTTTTACCGGCCGGCTTAAAGGGAATCATAACCGGTTTATCAGTTCGCTAGTTGAACTGGCGATTCTAACCTGATTCGTTTGGCTTGATACACAAACGATTTTTTAGGTTGAATCGGACCGGCCTTAAGACCAATAAATCCCTTGATGTGCATGCACCATATTTGATGTGCTCATTCATTAAGCCTCATTGAAAGGGCCATCAAAATAGATGACTAGAAGTTGAACATTTATTGGGATGGTCATAACGGAAGTTATTAATTAATTAATCAGGCTAATGGGAAAATATAACTTAAAAAATGGCTAGGATTTACTTAATATATTTTTAATCTAATAAAAAAAGATATTTCTAATATATTTTAATCAATTATTTTTAGGCCTACGTCTACCATTCTTAACATAGGCTAAATTTAAAACATCCACTCTTCTAACCAGGTCATCAGAAGGTCGTTGTTTTATGTGACCAAATCATCCAAGTCGGCTCTCTCTAATCTTATCTGCCACTATAGCTACTCCAACTTTTTCACGTATATATTCTTTTTGCATTCTATCTGTAAGAGTGAAGCCACTCATCCACCTAAGCATACCTTATACAATATTCAATTGTTATCTTTGGATGTTAAACATGGATTTTCTTGTCAACTTTAAGTTTTATTTGTTGTGATTAAATTGATATGCAGTTTTCTTGCTGTGTTGATGTTCGTGCTTGCTTCATTTAATGATTTGCAAATTTTCTTTAAAATATTGGAATGTTTTCTTTATCTTTTGAAACCCTTTCATTTTGGCTATTTATTTTGCATTTTAATTTTCAGGGCCAACAATTGCCATATAGTTCCTATTTCTTTTTGTTTACTAGTGATAAGATCACTTGTGAAAATGAAAAATACTGTGGGCCATTATACTGGAAGTCATGGTTAAGGGAGCATCTATTAACTATTGAGAGGGAAAAAGCTACATTTCCTCAATCATCATATAGCCATTATGAAGGTGTGTTTTTCATATTTTTCGGTATTACAGCTTTTATTAATTTTAAATTGAACATGTTTCAAGGACCAGCTACTGCAGATTTCATCTTTCAATATCTGTTTGAGCTTGTCAGGTATACTTTGATTTAATGCCATCAGTTTTCTTTCTTGCAGGGGTGAATATATTGCTAGGCTCAATAGCTTACAGTTTAGTTATATTTCCTGCTTTTGACAACTCCGAAGTTGATCCTCTCGTTGCCTTTGGCATTCAGAACCCTAAACAGGGCATGAAAATATTTCAAGCTGCTCTCTTCTACATTAATAATCTATTGAAATTTGAGAGCAATTCTTCAAAAATACTTGTATGTTATGTTCTTTTATTATTTATTAAAATCTACTGAAAAAAGTAATGAATCCAAGTTAATGAGATAAGGATCAAAATGGTCCCCAAACCATTTACAAAGGCTTGACTATTTAAAAGTGTCATTTTGCCCCCTTGACATTTTAATCAGGGATCTAAATGATATCATGGAAGGACTAATTTGGTATCTATTTAAAGAGTGAAGTGTCCAAATTGGTACTTTGATATAGTCGTTGACAATTGTTTTCTTTCAGAAAAAGTTAGGGGTTCAATTTGATTCATTTCTCCAAAGTTATTCTACTCTCCTTTTCTAGAATAAATTGTCACACTCAACGTGAAAAGGCACAAGGTGCCAAGAAATACAATAGTTATTTATTCCACAAATAGATAATAAATGATGCTATGACTATTATAAACTTCATTATGATGATAACTGGCATTTATGGTTACCATTGCATTGTCATATGAGCTGACAAACTCAGTTGATGTTTTTGAATCACAGCACCATAGTTGTTAAGCTTACTACTATTTGCCCTGGCAAGATCTATTACCTTGAAAATTTTGTATTTTATATTTATCATTTATAAAATATAACATTATGTTCATGGTGTGTTGTGTCTTATTTTTTATTGTTATTATGTTGTGTCACAGTGTTCGTGCCATGTCTGTGTTCATGTGTATGTGTTCGTGCTTCATGGGTTTAAAAGTTGAAATTATGCCTTTTTTAGTAATTAATAGTTTAATACTTAATTTGATTGAGTAATTTTTTATTATATTAATTGTATTTGTTTTTTTAATATTATAAAGTTTCTTTTATAATATTATACCTTATCTTGTGCTTCCTTATAATAGATAATTGTAGGAATTTTGTATTTTATATTTATCATTTATAAAATATAACATTATGTCCATGGCGTGTTGTGTCTTATTTTTTATTGTTATGTTGTGTCGCAGTGTTTGTGCCATGTCTGTGTTCATGTGTATGTGTTCGTGCTTCATGGGTTTATCCTATTTCTTTGTTATATATCTCATTTCCAAATGTGCTAAGTTCTTAGACTTATGATGCATCATTTATTCTTTTTTGTTTAGATTTTTATCAAAACATTTCCTAAGGATTTGGTGTATAGTTTAAAAAGCCAAAAAAACAAAATACTCATCATCAGTTAGTTATGTAGTTTATTTAAACATCTTAGGGTCTGTGAATTTTTTTGATACAGATCTTAGATGAGATTCACAAAATTTGGCGAGTAAGGTCAAATTTGCGCGCAATGAACTTTTATTAAAAATTAATTGTCCCTTTAGTTTATATTAAAAAAATTGAAAGAATCTTGACAAATGATTATTTAAGCATTGTTTAACAAAAATCCTGCATAGATATTAAGGATCATAAAAGAGTCGTATGTTCGATCTTTAACTCACTCTATGAAAAAAATTTAGATTGTTTGACCTTTGACAATATTTAATCACACATGCAATCATAACTAAAATAAAAGAATGGGAAAAGAGCACAGGAAAGATATCACCGAATTACAATTAAAGCCTTGCACTATTACAAGAAGATAACTTCAAAAAGAAATAGGTTATCTCCAATTGCAACATGCTAGAAACAATCACATCCAACTAGTAATTATGCAAAATGGAAGCAACATTATTCAGTAGACTATTAATGTTAGTTTTATATGTATGATGAACCTTTTTAACAGCCATAAGTTCTATATTTATACTGAATAGCCTCAAGATTGTTTGATATACATTATTTTAGTGTCCTATGATGGCCAATTAGTCTATTATTTTGTACCATCGACACTATGTTGAAAGATAACTTACAATGATTTTTAATGTACATTCTGTCTACTTTTCAGTCCTATATTTCTTCTACTAGAACTTCAAAGTTCAAGCTTTTTGTTACACTTCCTAATCAATGGTAACTTGTAAACGAAAAGAATATAAAGTTGACGTCCTACCCTGTGTCAGAGCTTGTGTGCAAGAATAATTTTCATTCTTATAAGTTTTGTGATTACCTTAAAGTAGCTGTTGTTTTTTTTTTTATAATTTTTTTAAGTGCATGCAGATGCATAGTTGTGCGCTCAAATTTCATTTCTGATTATAATTGTAATTTCTAGATCACTGCATGCGGTGGCCATTCATTTGCTGTGTAAGTGATAGGGTATTTCAGCATTTGCAAGTAAGGCATCTTTATTATCTTCAACTTCTAGCTAAAGTTTATGAATGTTTATTGTGTTAAGTGTTAATAGAGTTGAAGATTTTCATATATGCATGCTTTAGAAGATTTTGAATTATAGTTGCTCCATGGTTAGAATGTTGGAAGTTTCTAAAATAATTTAAAAAATGTCTTCTCGATAGGCTAAGTTCCTTCAAGTATTTCAAATGCCTTATTAGAAGTTAGAACATATGTTAATGCTAGGAGACCAACAACTATATCAGTTCAGGTACGTTCAACATCTAAAAGCCTTCCATACCATTCATATGTTCGTTACATTCTTCAGATTTAGCAATGCTATCGCAGCCAGACCTAATTGGCCAATGGTATCACACTCCAAGGTAGCCTAAACAAGACCCCATTAGAACATATCCTTATAAAAATCAAATATCTTAAACTTTGCCCTTCTTTTTCCAATCACTCAGCTAAATAGTAATCATTATGCAAATCAATTACGACCAATTACTAAACATGTCATAAGGAAAATTTATGTCATATGTTTCATCAAATTTTGAATTTTGTACACAAAGCTACTGGTTTCATTGAAAAACCTCAAAGATTGATGTTTATAATTAAATTAAGATTTTTTCTTTAATGATTAATTGTAAGATATTTCTTAATTAACCTTCATAATTTGATTATATGAAGAAAGATATTTTGGGTCAACATTATTACCAACCCCTCGTTGTTAACTGCACCTTATAAACTAGTATGATGGGTGTGCTTGAACATCTTTTTGAACATCAGCCTGTATTCCTTAATATTACTAGATCACTTTCCTCCCCAATCTTTTTGAATATCAGCCTGTCCTAAGAGTGTGTACAAAGTGGGATGTCGGTTTCATTCTACAGAATACACAACTTTGAATGAATTTTTGAATACTTAATATCTTAATTTTTGTATTACATATTTGATTTTTGTATGTTAACTTTTTCTTATAACTTCATGAGTTTTCAATCGACTTTATGGTCTTATTTGGACTTGGGAGTCTGATGGCTGTTTTTTTTCTACCTATACCAGAAAAGTAATATTTTAAGGGTCACATCATGCTACTATACGATGCATCCCTTGAACTATTTGACTTTTTAAAGAGAGGAGAGGATCTAATAACATTATTCAAATATATATGGCAATAAACCTATAATGATAGTGTATTGCTGCTCTCATATGAATCTATAACAAAACACTTCTCGACATTGCCATGTTACGTACTTCTAACAACTGCTGAGCAACTTATTTATTGTATAGCATTTATATTTCTTGAGATAATATTTAAAGCCAGTGTGACATATTTTTATATTGAGAGTTTTTTTTTCATAAAAATGAGTACTATATTTAATTGAGCTAGCATATCAAATGTAAGTTGTATTTTTTGTTTATGCAATCCCAGAATCAGACTTCAGGTATTGTACTGGTAAGGCTATTGTGCATCCCCAGTCTTCAAAGGTCATATTGGTGAAGCATTATGCATTGGATATGGCTTCTTTAAAACTAAGTCCTTCAGAACATCAGACATTTATATTTATAGGTTAATCTCCTTATTTTAGTACTAAACTGCTTATTTCTCTGCTGATTACTCTTTTACTTTATCTCCATGGTTAAATAAATTACTCTTGAGACAGATATTATAATACTATAATATAAGTTATCAACGTAGCTGTCTATATGCAGTGATGTGGATTTAGTTGTAAATTAGCTCGGGATTTAATGAACATAAAATCTGCAATATTAGCAATGAAGAATTGAAGTTGGAAGATGCCTAATTGTGTGTATTTTTTATCGAAGTTCAAGAGAACTGACTGTATCGTGTTGTGTCAATTTCTATAATTCCTCATTGATCACTTTTTTCAACTCTTAACCTTCTTTTTTGTGTAGGGTGTTCTGAGTCCAAAAACATTATCAAATTTTGAGTGTCAGGGAGATTTGTGTTAGTGTAGCTGTTTCAGTTCGTGATGTTTGCAAGGACAATTCGACAGGGGTGTTGACCTCATACTTTCTGTGTCGGTATAGCCTAACCAAAACTTGTTTTCATATATTAATCATTTTTTTGTATTTAACATTTTTTGGTTTGATATGTTTTTCAGTCATGCATTGAGAGTGAAGATTCCACTGTGAAAGCTCTTGGCCTACATAGTCTTTCTTCGCTCTGTGAAGCTGATGTTGTTGGTAAATTCTTTGACTCTAGGTGTAGTAGCGCTTCTATTTGTGCCATATTGCAGTTCAGAAAATACCTACTATTCTTATAGCCAATCAAGCTGGAAGCAATGTTGTGCCTAACTTGGCTAATCCATCAATGGCATGATCATTGCAACCGTGCATTGAGCATGCGCTATCTGCTTTTAACTGAAGTGCTTTACCTCCTAAAATATCTTGTTCTTTTATGTGGATTATATCATCAACATTCATAGGGAATGATTGATTAACTGTAGCACTAAGGTTTAGGCAATCCAACTGAGCAAGTTGTTTAAATTTTCTTTATGGCTTGGATAGATTTGTTTGGCTTATCGAAAAGAGCAGTAGTATGTTGACCTCTATATATATTTCACGGTCAATTTGAACAAATGTGATTTGAATGAAAATCAATCGATGCAATGGTGATCTATCGATGCGACGAAGAGTTAAATGAACGTGAAACACCTTGTTCATAGTTAAAATTGCTCAAAGCGTTGTCCATTTATAGAAAATGCTATATTGACATGTTTATAGTGCTGAATTCATGAAGACAGCAATGCTTGCATACAAGATGAGTATGTGATGATAAACAATGATTTACATATGTGACCTTGTGTGGCCTAAATGTCATTCATTTGTGAAACAGATTTCGCCAATGCTTTCGGAATATCAAAATTGTCTTGAAAAAAACACATATTTCTAGAGTACCAGAGTAATATGAAATTCAAAGCTTGTCTTTAACATTGGTTGCCACCTAGTTGTTGCTGTTGTGCATTTCCCTAAGGCTGATTAATCTCCTGTATAACCCCATCGATGACCACTTGTTGGAGAATTTTTGTATCCTCAAACGGATTGCATATTTTATAATCGGGCACGGCATAAGAATACGATATATTACCCCGGAGGGTAAAAATACAATTTTCTTATGGGCTCAATAACAAAATTTACAATTATTTAACAGAGATTCCCACACTCAATGTTTGATTGAGTGGGATTTATTTATTTCTGGGGTACAGACATCCCATAGGGGCAAGCCCCTATGGTTAATTATATCCCAAGTTTGATTTGGGAAAACTTTTAATTAAACTAGTGGTTTTCTTTCTTTGGAAGTCATCTAAATATTGGCTAAAATTGATTTTTGTTGTTTTAAAATCCATGAAAGTCTTGCTTAAAGGTTTGGTCTTTAGGAATTTCAAGGAAGAGGGTTGATCAACTTAGAATCAAATTTTTGGAGTGAAGTCCAAGAGAAGGTAAAGTAGGAGCACTTGATTCTGAGGGAAACTCAGAGGTGCTCGGACTATCCTATGTTGGGCTTTACATTTTAGCAATCTAAATTTTGGTTTAAGTTGAACTTTTTATTAGAATGTTGGGGCTTATATTCCTTCAACATATATTGTAGGAACTGCCCGAAGGATGAGGGCTTATAGGGTGATTTGGAATCAACCCATGCCTCGGACATTAAGACTAAGGTGAGGACTACCGACAGGTAGTGCCTCGAACCTAGATCTAACAAGTGCAATGAGGGACTTACAAGCTACACCTCACAAGAGGCATAACCCGCCCGACCTCTGGATTTATTGTCCCTCCCGGAAGGGATTACCATCTAAACTCCCCCTAATCGCTTTTAAAACCATGTTATTCGATCTCAATGTAAATGTAGAGTGGTAGGGTTGTTTTTATTTAGAAGATAGGTCTTACAACTTGGCTTTGAGGCCAAGATGCCTTAGTGTGTGGTATGCAAATGTTGACTTATAAAGAAAAAGACTTTTGTTATCTAATCCTTAAGTGAGGGCATTCTACATGCAACACATTTGGGCTATGCATGATTGTTTTAATTTTTAAAACTTGGCTCCTTGAAGGGAGCCATGCAATTTTTTTTACTTGAAAAACATGGAGCCTAATTTGATTTTATTTTTTTAGATTGCTTACATATTAAGGGGTAGAAAACTTAGTTTTTATCCTAAGAGCCTAACGTGATCAAGTCCAGGCCACACCCACAAAAACAAGAGAAGAAACCAAAGACATGCATTTCTATTGCGCACCCAATAAACACTTCAACACATGCTTTTGTATATAAATAAAGATAGAAATGTAAATAATGTCCCAGTTATTACAAACATGTTTGGCAGCTGAGTTGCCTGCCATTATACAACCCAATTATATTTACAGACTCTACTTGTGGGGGTCTTCAAGCTTTAACAATCAAGGAGGTCTTTGGGCTTCATCTCCAAAATGGTGCATTCTCCTTCGATCCTCCCTTCTTTTCAATCAAACCCCACAAGTTTTACATCCTAGATCTAATCAAATACATGATATAAAATAGAAAAAAGACTCAAATCTGCAAAATAGAGTTAGGAGGCAGTTTCTATAATTAAGCATGTAATCATCTCAAAATTGGCCTAACACTTAGAGTGCTAAGTGCTAGGCCCCCTGCTTTTACACTATTGGTCATGTCTCCTGGGGGGTTTTAAGCAGCGCCTGTAAGCAAATAGCATTAATAAAATCATGACATTTACCCCCTTCTTGGACATGACATCCTGCACAGAAAAGCATTTATATTTCTATATTAACCACTTATGGGCAAGTGCCCACACGCAGACAATCCAAGGGTAATCAATCCACAACATCAATCACATGCGCACACAAAGAAAAATCCTAATCCTAGCATGCCTAAGGGGCTGTGCACCTAAGTGTGTGAGGCTTCTGTGGTATGTCGCACTAAAAGTCCTTCTAGAATTTGGGTCTAAGGAAGGAGTGTCCAACATGTGACTTTTGGGCCACTTGTTGAGGGAAATTCTCCTTAGCTTTTGGAGCCAAGAAGAAGAGGTAGGAATCTAACATTTAGCTTTTGTGCTAAATGTTGGAGAGTTCCATTTAGCTTTTGGAGCCAAAGAGAGGAGAAATCTCCTACAACTTTGGGGTTGGAGGAGAATTGGGGAGAAAATGCAACTTTTGGGTTGCAAATTCATGAAGATCTTCAGACATTTTGATGTCCAAAGAGAGAATTGCCCCCTTCCAACTTGGGTTTGGAAGGGCAAAGAGAAGTAGGACTTGAATCCTAAGCTTGAGGTGAAGTTACTTGTTATTTTTGGTTCAACAAGTACGATTATTTGGGACAAAATTGGATCACTCAATATAGGTTGAGTGAAAGTGGGCTTCATACAACTTTTGAGTTGTAGGAAAAGTAAAAGAACATATGGCTTTGAGCTAAGGTAAGGAATTCCTTAAGACTTTTGGAGCCTATAGGAGTAAAAAATGATTAATAACTTTAAGGTTACAAATCAAGAAGGTGGTTCCTTGAATTTTTGTATTCAAGGAGGAATTTCATTTTCTTAATTTGGGTTAAGAGAAATGAAGAGGATTTTGGTGGTTTCCTACAATCTAGATTTGTAGGAAAACAAATAGTCCAATGGGCAATCTAGAGATTGCAAATTGGAGGAATTTCTTTGGACATGTGGTGTTCAAAGAAAAGAAATGTTTCATCCTCCAATTTTGGGTTGGAGGAGAAAAGGAGATGGGATGTTCACTCACCCAATTTGGGTCAATGAAATAAGAAAAATTCCTACAATCTTTTTTTGATTGTAGAAATAAGAGAAGGAAACATGCAACTTGTGAGTTGCAAATCCACAAATGTTCCTTAAACTTTTGATGTTCAAAGGAACAAATTCACTTGTCTAATTTGAGGCTAGGCAAATGAAGGGGAATTGAGAGATTTTCTACAATTTAGAATTGTAGGAAAAGAAATAGACCGAAGTGCAACTTAGAAGTCGCGGATTAGAGTGGTTTCTTTGAACACTTGGTGTCCAAAGATGGGATTCATCCTCCCAATTTGGGTTTTGGGAGCACAAACATGGATTCAGATTTTCTCCTACAATCTTGGCTTGTAGGAAAAGGGGGAGAGAAATGCAACTTAAAAGTTGCAAATCATAGGGATCCTTTGAACATTTGGTGCTCAAAGGAGATGAGTACATTCTCCTAATTTTGATTTTTAGGAGAATAAGATGGTTTTCCTACAACTTTTGAGTTGTAGAAAAGGGGAAACCATGTGAAACTTATAGATTCCACATTCATGAGTGCCCTTGAATTTTTGGTGTTCAAAGGGGAGACGACCATTCTCCTAGATTTGGATTTAGGAAAATGAGAGGACTTTCTACAACCCTTAAGTTGTAGAAAAGAGAAGCAACAAGCAAATTTTGAATTGCATGTTGAAAGGAATTCCTTGGGCATTGAGTGTCCAAGAAGGAGCATTCATTTGCTAAATAGTGGCTAAGCAAATGAGGGAGACTAGGATTTGAATCCTATGTCCAAAAGATTATTCATTGGTTTGTGTTCCAACAAATAAATTATATGAGAAGCTTTCTACAACTTTGAGGTTGAAGGAAGAAGATGGTTTGTTGGTTTTATGTTCCAACAAAAAGGGGGATAGCTTAGAACTTAGTTTCAAGCTATAATGATTCATGTAATCTAACGCTTGGAGCTTCAAGAACGCTCCAGTGATTGTACATGGGAGGGTAAAAGAAGGTTCATAAGTTCTCTTATAATCTGGACTTATAATAGATTATGACTAGAATGCAACTTGCAAGTTGCCGATTGAATGTGCACTTTGGACATTTAGTATCCAAAGAGAGGTTATCATCCACTTAAGTTAGGCTAAGTGAATGGAGGAGGGGGACCTAGATTTAAATCCCAAATCTAGAGGATTCATTGGTTTTGCGTTCCAATGCATGAGTGATTTGCTAGGCTCCTTGTAACTTTGGGGTTAAAGGAGAGAGATGTGACTTTGAAGTTACAAAATCTCATGAATGCTCTTTGAGTACTTGATACTCAAGGGGAAGGTCATTCACTTGGTTGGAGCCAAATGAATAGGGATAGATGCTCATTTGTTAATTTTATGACTCAACAAATGAAGAAACGCCTTAGGATTTGGTTCTAAAGTCTAGATGATTCATACAATGATACATTTGGAGATTTGAGATGTCCCAAATAATCATGTA